TGATTTGATGACTGAACGAGCCAGCTTGTGTCCTGGCAGCCAAGAAGGCCAACAGCATCCTGGCCTGTATCACAAATAGTGTGGCCAGCAGGGCCAGGACAGTGATCCCCCTGTACTCAGCACTGGTGACCCTCAAATTGATTGGTGCACCTCAAATCCTGTGTTCAGACCCTTCACTGCAACAAAGACCAGCTGCTGGAGCTGGTCCAGAGAAGGGCATTGAAAGCTGGTGAAGGGTCTGGAGCACAGGTCTTATGAGGCTGAGAGAACTGGGGTTATCTTGGAGGAAGGGAGGCACAGGGAGACTTTATCACTGTCTACAACTACCTGAAAAGAGGATGGAGCAAGGAGGTGGCTTATCTCTTCCCCCAGGTAACAAGCGATAAGACATGAGGAAATGGCCTCAAGTTGCTCCAGGGTAGGTTTAGATTGGACACTGGGAGAAATTTGTTCACCAAAAGAGTTGTCAAGCATTGGAACAGGCTGCATAGGGAAGTGGTTGAGTCACCATCCCTGTAGGTATTTGAAAGACATGGAGATGTGGCCCTTGAAAGACATGGTTTAGTGGTGGACTTGATAGTGCTAGGCTAAGGATTGGACTCGGTGATCTTAAAAGTCTTTTCCATCCTAAACAATTCTATGATTCTGTGATTCCCAGGGCAGCACTTCCACTTGCAGTCTTTGCCAGAAGGTAAGTCCAATTTTATTCCTTGATTTTGAAGTGATGATTGCATGATACACAAGAACCGTGGAACGCGGGGGAGCTTGGGAGACTCTGGTATCATGATTTTGTCCTTTTTCGGAGTTCAGAAAAGATACTGAGCCATTTCTATACTTCACTTGGCATGTTGGTTTATCTCATTTATGGATTGATGCTGTGTGTGCAGACTAGGGTCTAGGGCAGATTTGAAAGGGACGTGTCTGTCCTGGACCTTGCTGCTTCTTATCATTTTAATAAAATACAAATTTGAGTTACAAAGAGTTATTTCCTTCCATCCCTCCTGCTTTCTCCATTCTTCTGGGTCCTCCAATGGTCTCTGTTGACCCTGCCAGTGAAGACTTGCAGTCCCTTTTAGGGAGACAGTTGGCAGGGCTTTGAGTGTTCGCACCCAGCCTAGCTTTCAGCATGTGGGCTTCTTTATCAGTGCATCTCCAGACTTGGGAGAGAAGCTCCAGTGAGAACTGGCAGTTTCCAATTATTTGCACTATTTGGACTTACTATTAAAGACACCCGTTTGAAAAAATGACTTCTGGGCTTTTTAAGTAGTGTAGTTCTGGATATGGACCCTGTTCTGGAAAAGTTATTTGTAGAGGGAAATGGCATTGAAGAAGAGGTCAGAATTCAGCTTGTAGAATACACAAAGAAATTATTTGCCTGGCATCTAAACTGCCACTTTTATTTCCACATTTTAAGGAGAGTCCTCTTTTCTCATTGTATTTGTGGTCTCTACTGCTTTGGGGACATGTTTAAGGAGGCAAACTGCAGGCAGTGACTAATGAAGTGTCTCAGATGTCTTTCCATGATGAGACAGCCACCAGTATGGAAAATACTGCACTTCTTCGGGGGGAATTTTGTCTCTTGTTCTCTGCTATAGGAAACCTGTCTTTTTGTTCTTCTTTATTATAGCCTTCAGCAGAGGAGGAAGATTTAGGGGGTTTCAGGTGATTCAGCAAGACCCTTTTTGCTAGGGCTTCAGCAGATTCTCACCACTGTGAGGTTCAGGATAGACTTCGTTTCCAGCTTGTACCCAGTCTCAACTGTTACAGATTTACCTGGACTTGTCTTCCAATGCAGCCCATCACTGGTGCTGCACCATCAGTTGGTAAGACCTGCCAGCCCTACTGCAGTTGTGAGTAATCTGGCCCGAGCTGTGGCACCAGGCAATGAAGCAACCGCAGTGGTAGCCCCCAGCATGCTGGTATGCAGGCAGGTGGCTGTTGCCAGTGCATGGATCAGTTCTTGTGATGTGTGTAATGAAAGAAACAAGAGTGCCTAGATTTTGCATCTACGCAATGTAGCATCTTTGGTTGGTTGTGATATAGCTGTATGGGGCTTTTACTCTTCAAAAGGTCAGGATTGATGTGTAACAGGACTGTCCATCAACAGAAATTACTGAAGGCAAGACATGGAAGCTGGGGCAGAATGTGGGAAGGAAGCAGAGAGAAGAGAAAATACAATTGGTACAGGGTAATTGCAGGAGGGCAGGAGAGGTGACATTGGCTTGTATGGGGAGCACATCCCCTTGGTGTGGATCCAGGGAGGAACAGGCAGCTGAGGTCAGTGTTGTCCTGTGGAATTACCTGAGCTAAGCCTAACCCATGCTGGCACTTTGAGGGTGTTGTGTCGTGGCAGCTCCAGGAGTTCCCCAGCAATGATAAGTCTCTGGCAAGGTGAAACTGAGACCCTGGAAAGTGACACAGGGTTCAGCACACAGGCTGCTGTGCCGCTGCTGCTGCCAGTGGTGGTGGTGATGCCAGTGCTGGAAGCACAGACAGCAGAGTTACAGTGCACTGCTGCCCACCTCTTTTTGCCTTTCAGGGTCTGTCTTTTCCTAAGTGGTACTGTGTGAGGCACTTGTGGACAGGGATGGATGTAGGCCCCCTGTGCTTGGTGCTGCATCCCTGGAAAATAAGCAGTCCAGCATTGAACCAGTGCTTACCTGCATTTTCAGACAGAGCTGTCTGTGCAAAAAAGGAGCTTCCTGCATGTTAGTGCATTGTTTGTCAGCTTTCCCCAAACTCCTGTGCTTGACAGTGTCTTGTAAGGAGTCCAAATGCTTTTTTGAAAATGATCATTAACAGACTGTCCTTCAGAGACCCTGAATATGTTATCTTGAATGGAAATGTATAAAGTGCCTTTGCTCATCATGCTTACAACCTTGGTATTGCAGGCATGAAATCCTGCAAATGAGAAGGGCTTAAAAGTATGCACAAATGTGAAACTAATTAGCTTGGTGTCCTTGTCCAAGCTGAATGACGTGCTGAAAGAAAATAAACATTCACAATGAAACACAGCATGGATCTAAACAAATTCTTTCAGCTTTAGTAATAAGATGTAGTGCTTCCTTACTAAATGAGTGACTGGAGAATTTTGCTGTGTTAAAGCTGGGGTTGTACTCGGACACCATCACCACCAGCTCTGCATGGTTCAGCATGGACCTGCTTTTCCAAAGGGCTTTTGCCACAGAAGCTGGGCCAGAATCCTTCTCTCCTGTCAAAGCGTTTCTTTGTGCAGATAATCACGGTAGCTGCGTATGTCAACTAAGCATGCAGCTGCACGCACAGTTTTTCCTGTTGCTTTGGACTCCTGCCTTTCAGAGATCAGGCCGTGAGTGATTATGGGTTTTAAATTTGCTTTGCTACTAGTGTGATCCCTGAGAGTGCCTTCATTTCCACAAGTAGCTGGTCAATGAATTTGTCTTTAGATAAAGAGTTTTCTATACGCTGCCCCGAGTGCAGCTTGTCAGCAGCGGGGAGGATTGTAGCTGCAGTTCTGTCTGCTGTGAAATTCCCGAGATTCCCATCACCACCCTCGTTTAAACATCCCCCAGCCCTGCTGTAAACAAGTGAGACACTCACCCTGCACCCTGGCTGGCAGCCAGGGATATTGGGCGCTCTGGCGGGAGACAGAAGTGAAGCACAGAAAAGAGTGTCGAGTCGTGAATCATCTCAGTGAGGATTGACAGCCACCATCAACAAAACCAGGCAAACCTGGGGTCGCTGCTTAACAAGCAGCTTATTTCTTGTTGAAGTTACAGTGTGCAGGTGAGCGCTGCAAAGGCAGCAACACACCTTGCACAATAGGGCAGCTCCTCTCCATGTCCTGTTGCAGCAAAATACCTGTAGGGCTGTGGATGTAGTGTATGGACCTCTCAGCTGTTTCTGGCTGGTTTCCTGAGGTGACAAAGCCTATGTAATTGTTATGTTTACCATGGGCCCTTTCGACAGCTTTTGAATGTGGTTGGACAGTTTCAGCCAAAGAGAAGAGTAGAAATTTCTGAGATTGTTACATTTCTACAAATTTTGAGATGCTCTAGAGGGGGACAGGAGAATCTGGCCCAGTTCAGAACCACACCATGTGAGAGGCATGGACAGCACAGCTGGTACAGACCCTGGGCTGTACCAGCTGTGACCCATATGTGTCGGGGGTGTTGTTGTGTGCATTGGTACCACAGCCAGCACACACGTACATCAGGACTATCCAGAGCAGGGAATGGAAGAGGTGTGAAGAGAAAGCCAGGATTAAGGTAGTGCAAAAGAGACACACAAAGGCAAAGGACACCAATGTAGAAATCGGCTCACCAGCTGTTTTCTTCTGTTCCAAGATCCTTATCCAGACCACCCTGTGCTTCTCAATTCTGCAAAGAAATCTAGACAGTCTGTGCTCATGATTGAAGATTTAGATACCCCTCTGTAGCTTCACACAGTCACTGTGATATTCAGTTGGCTCTATCCTAAGCTCCTGTTTGACCATGTTTGAAGCTTGAAAATGGTGGCTCCATCCAGAGGGACTTCGGGGGGGGGGGCAAATTTCCAAGGTGGCAAGGCTTCTTTTGTTGTGAAGTCCTTGCTGCCTGCTCAATATGTGCTGTCGCCTTGCCTCAGGTGTACGGGACAACTAAGGGTAGGGGGATATTACGTGACAGGTAAAGCTCACCATGGATACTGCCTATGCAGAAAGTTCATGCACCCACAGCCTTATGTTTGGGGTTGTTTTTTGGCATAAACAACCTCATACCCAAGTAGGAACCATAATTTTTGCTTTATGGAGTATCCTAGCACATTACTCTGGGAGGCCCGTAGCTCTGTTTTGTAAGTGGATCTCCTGATGCCAGTGGATCCTTGCAATTAATTGCACACCCAGGGGGTTTCTCCTTCATCTATGCCACACTGCAGCACTTCCCATCGGGGCTGATTTGCTGGGTCTTCTGTGTGCTCTGTGATTTTTGGGTCACCTTGACCAGCCACCATCCTCTCCCTTTGAATAGGGAGCACATGGCCCCTACTTCTGCAAGGTTATACAAGGAAAGCCGAAACTTTCTTGTCAGAGGCAGGGGAGCAAATTCAGTCTCCAGCGGACCTGAAACAACGAGCAGCTTGGAGAAGGTGTGCTTCCAGGACACGTGCCAGCACTGAACCAGCACCAGTGGCAGGTTTACAGAAATGCCACAGGCAAAACGAGAGCTCTGGTAATTCACAGGCTCCCCAGGTTTGACAGGCAATCATCCAGCCTCACCTCTTGTATAAGACTGGCCCCTTCATTTCATGTAGTTACCCCTGTCCCACACCCAATAATATGTGCTTGCCAGCAGTGCTTGTGGGAAGTTAACCAGCCTCAGTGCGGAATCGAGTGGAGACAGGGAATCTACCATGTCCATGGGTTGATCAGCCACACTCTACAAACACAGTGGTTTATTTCTAATCAGATATTGCCTGGTTATGGCATCTGGCTGTGGTTCCTGTTCTTCCTTTCTTAGGAGATTAAAGACTTTTTGTGTGCCACATGTTTACTCCCTGGGATTGCATTGGCATAAAGGCATGTTCTTCTGTTTGAGAGGCCAAACAGACTGAGCTTACTATGGAGCAAATAGTGCAGCTCTCAGCCGTTGGAGTCTCTCTTCCCCTTTCATTCCCCAGCGGTCAACATCCCTTTTAAAGCAGGGAAGTAATGCTTTTGCCAGTGCCGTACGCTGGTGTCATATACCTTTTCTTACCCTTACCCATCGTGTCCTTCCCTGAGCGTCCACTCTGAGGTCTTAGGCTGGATTTTAACGCATTTTCCCAAAGGGAAGCGCTTGGAGCCATCTTATATGATTCAAGGTGCATATTGAATCCGAGAGGGACAAAACCAGCAGTAACAGAAGAACTTTCTGACTTGTAAAGGCCAAAAGGAATTAATCACTGCAGGGAAATGGGCTCTCTCGTTTACACAAAGCATGAGAGAGAGAGAAAATAAAGTGCTTTAGAATGGAGAAGGGAAAGAAAGGCCCTTGCAGTGTCCCTGTCAGTACCCAAATAAATCTTTGAAGAGAGAGGGGAGACAATAGCAGCAGAAAGCTACCCGAGCAATGGCAGAGCAGAGCCTTAGGAGCAGATCTCTTTCTGACTAATGGCTGCCAGCTCTGGACCTTTGTGGTTAGTTTGCTTTGGTGAACCCAGTAACCGCTGGCATGGTCTTGTCTTTCTCATCCGTGGATTGCTTGCTAAACTGGCGGAGTGGTGATACTGAAGGCAATATCCTAGCAGGAATGTAGCTAAGCCACTGGATCAAATACTGGATTTGAATCAAACCAGTTCTGTTTTGGAGCAACTGAACTGTCCGGTGGGCTGGAAAAAGCTCTGGGGAACCTTGACCAAGGTTGCTAGAGAGCAAAGTAGTAGAGAGTTTCCATCCAAAAAGGATCCAGGCAACATCTCCTTACAGTAAACAGAAGAAAGCCTTGCAGTTTTGTGATCCTTAAGCATAAGGGGAGTGGCTGAGACTGCTGGGAGCAGGCTGACAGCCCTGGGAGGTTTTATACTGACAGAGCACATCTGTAGAGGAGAGCTGCCAGGCTGTCATGCAAACCCATTGGGGGACCATCTCACACGTCAAGCACATGCTGTCTGCACCTCCAGGGCTCCTCACACCTTCCTGGACATGACTGCAGGCAGGGAAGCAGGTCAGATCATCGGTGTTATTAACAGCAAAGCTGACATCTGGGCTGGCCACTGGAACAGCCCAGGCATTTGGTTTGTTTATTTTCCTTCTGCCTTTGGCGCTTTTGCTCTGTACAGAAGGCTGCCTTAGCGTGTTGCTAACACACTGCTTGGGGTAAGCACTACATGAAACTCCCACTATTTTGAGGAACCCAGCTCAGGCATTTTTCAAATAACTGCTGCTTTTTTTGTGTGTGTGTGATTCTTGGGCAAATTGAAACTAAAACCTCTTCCCTTGCACACTGTTTTTGTCTGTTGTGCTGATAGTCTGCTCTGTGGTAGCAAATCTCCAACATACCGATGTACCCTGATGCTGCTCACACTTGGCCTGTCTTGACACTGGAGTGATTTCATTAATGTCAGTGGAGACGTCCTCCTTATGCTGGTGCAGAGCTAGCTTGGATGTGAGCCTCCACCATACATAGAGGAGAGCTGCAACTCTCCCTTGCTGCAGCTAGCAAGATGGGTGCAACAGAGGTGAACTTGCTGGAGTACAGAATGTGAGCACATAACTGCTGGGGACTAGGGAGAGCAGCTCTCCTTCCTCCAGCTTTCAAGTGGCTTTGACAAGAGCATGTTTTAAACTGGGGCCATTGATTTCCCCAGTAGTTGCTGTACAGTAGTAGGGAAATGGACCTTTGCATTGACCATGGCCTGTTTGGAGATAATCTTCAGAGGCACCTGCTCTCCTCTTTCCTCCCTCTACTTCCAAACCCACCCATCAGCCTCCAGGTGCCTGGCATCATGAGCTGCTTGTTCTCTTGGCTTAAAACCAATGTGGCTCAGTGTTAGACTCTTTGGGGCAAGCAGAGTCTATTTTTGTCCGAGCTGCTTTTGAGAGCAGTTGGGTCAGAGTAGGTGCAGTGTCCAGGGATGAGGTCTCACAGGGGGCTTGTGACTGCTGGGATACTGAGCAAAGCTCTCGAGAGTCCAGAGGCAGCAAGAGGTTTCACTGGTCCCTCCGGGGGTGCTGCAGGGAGGGGGCTGGAGTGGGTGTAGCTGGTGATATGTACAGGCAGCCAAAACCTGGTGTTGTAATGTCTGAGACGCTCTGAGTTTGGAAAAGGCCCCGATGATATCACCCTGCAGAACTGTTAACGGCAGAATGCAGGAAAGGAAACATTCACAAGTCCTTTCCCAACCTCTAAAGGAGAGGAATTAATGCTCTGTGTTCCCGTCCCCATCGCTGTGCTTGGAATTGGCTTTCATTCACCACCAGACATCAAAAGAGACAGTTCTTTCTCTTTTAATTTCTCCTTGGTTCTGCCATGTCTCTACCACATGCAGCAGAGAACGCTGACAGCAGAAAGTGTGAGAGCAGTGGCTGTTCTGCATGAGTTCCCTGCGAGGACACTGAACTCTGTATACCATCCTGCAGTTCTGCTTAATCCACTTCCAGGAGAGATAAACAAGCAGTGGTGCCTTCAGTGCTGCACAGAGCACGCAAAAAGCAGACTAAGCTCTGGAGCAGCTCTCCCAAGCTATTTCTCCTTTGTGGTTGCTCTCTCTCTCTGCAGCTCTCCATAGAACCCATGTCCTGCATGACCACCAGCCCCTAGTGGAGCCTCTTCCAGGTCCTGCACTGTAGGTCTGCTTGACTGCGGTCCTTTCCCCCTTCATTGTGGCCAGCACAGTGCATCCCCCACCCTGCTTAAGAAAGCATGATTTTTCTGGAGGTGGGAAGCAATACCACGCAGAGATTGCTTAGGTGCTGTCAGCTCTGCTTTTTTAACGTGATCCACCCACTATCACAGGATCCTTGGGAGGGTGGGAAGGAGAAGCCCAAAGCTAGAGCCAGTTAATGTCAGTTAAGTGAGCAATACCCCACACAGCACAGGGAGCGTGAAGAATGATGTCAGCCAGTGACTGCTTGAACTAGGCAATTAACTTGGAGATTTTTCTCAAAACGAAATGTGGAGAATGTGTGTGAAATATTTCTCCCTAGAGCTTCATGCAACAGGAGCTTCAAACTGACAGGGCTGGTGTGTAGTACTGAGAAGGAGTGAAAGTAGGGCCCATTAAGCTGCTTTGACAGGGGGAGCTTTCTTTTTTAGCCAGTTGCTCATTGCCAACGCATAGTCTTGGTTTGCTCCTTCCTTAGTGCTCAGGAGCTTGGGCTGGTCTCCCTCCCACCATCTGTGATGGATGAGATCAATGTGGAGCTCCCACCCTCCTGCTCTCCAAAGAGCCAATGTCATGGGCAATTTGAGGAAGGGACAAAGCAGATAACAACCCTCCCCTACAGTTCTCACAAAACCTTATGTCCTGGGTTCACCAGTTCCAGCATGGACACTTGTCTGCAGAGGGGCTGAAAAAGGAGTGATAATTTGTTTATGCTTCTGAGCATCAGGTTTGTAGCAAGGATGGTCCTATTCTGATGGAAACAGAAAGGTAAGGGATGAAATTAACTTTCCAATAACTTCCACTGATGTTTGGAGTGCCGTCCAAAGGATAGCAGTGGGGAGCAAGTCAGGCAGGGTCTGTGTTGTGTTATGGCTATGGGAAATGTCAGTGTGATTTTCCTCTCTGAGGAGGAAAGTGAGAATCTTCCTTGAAGAGTTCAACAAATATAGTGACCTGAACTGGGGGTAGTTGGAGCTGTTGATAGACAGGGAAGATAGATTGAGCATAATGCTAACCAGTTTAGCCAAAAGATGACTCAGGTAGGGAAGCATTGTTGTCTCCAAACATCTGTGAGGAGATGGAGATTATGTTAACAAAGGAGAAAATTTAGACTGAGCATCAGGAAAGTACTTCCTAGAAGTGAACTGTTGTCTCCCCAGGGAGGGGGTGGGAGTCCCATATCTGGCAAGATTGGAACAGCAATAAGTAATAAGAGATCGGATTACTTGCTATGTAATGATAACAAATAATGTAAAATGCGTCTTGATAACAAGTTAGAGTTCTCTGATAGCAACCAAATGCACAAGCCATGAGCAGGGTGGGACTTGGGGGATTTCTCATGCTGACAGGCTGCGCCTGGGAGTTCTGCTGGCTTCTTGAACCCTAAAGCCTTTATTTAGGCTTTTAGTCACTCAATACGTTGGAGCAGAGGTAAGTTCAGTAATTGTGCCCCTTCTCTGTGATTTTTCATTTGAGGGAGAAGGAGTCTGGTACAGCAATGGTCAGTTTGTGCTTTATGTGCTGGCAGTGGGATCCCAGACACCACTCCCCACAGCTTTATTTCACTCCCAGACTGTCTGGAGTGGAAGGATCTCCAAGCAAAGAAGGCAGAAAGGTAAATGTATGTTTTGGTTGGGGGCTGTTCTGTGACACGAGCCGAGGCCTGAAGTGGGGTCTTAAATGGACAATCATATCTACAGACCAGGCAGGGCTGTAGGTGAGAGAAGCAACTGAGTCTGTGGGCCCAAGTGAGCCCCAGACACCCAAATTACGGGCCCAAGCCCATGGGTTTCTCAGCTGCTGTTTCTTGGAATAGCGATCTCCTATTTCTACACTACTCAAAAAGATGGGATTAAGACAGGGGCTCTTTAGTGTTTTGGGGCTTTTGGTTTTGGTGAATGATGAGTCCATAATTTGCTTTGGTAACCCTGGAGCCATATGGCAGAATTTTGTTTTCCTTGCAGACTTGAAGCCTTGGTTTTGTTTAGTGTAGGCTGTTTGCCAGCCCTGGAGGGTTAAAATGTGAAAGGGGAACACCCTCTCACAAGGGCTTGTGCCCTTGCCTGCTTGGTCTGCCAATGATTATGTCCTAAGTGGCAGTCATAAGATAAGAGGGAAAATATGACTGAGGGTACTGGGAGAACTGTACCAGTCCTGTGCATCACCTGCCCCACCAGTGGAAGAGGAAATGGATGACTCAGGGCCTGAGATCACAGCAGGGGCAGAAGGAAGGTGGCAGTTGCCTTACAGGGTTGAGAGTGCCTAAATGCAATCCATGGGGGTCAGCTTCTGTTCCCCAGTGAGCTTTGTGAGGGCTGAAGGAGAGGAGCTTCCAGCCCTGCCTTTCATCAGCCCCACCTCACAAAAACATCAGACCAGAAACACTTGTCCATGTGAATATGAGACACGGTCAAATGTGGGGAAGAAGGACAAGAAAAGGGGCTGGAGGTTGCAGTCACTTTTTATCCTGAAGCAGGTTTGTTGGAATATATCCACAGCTGCACAAGGAGTCCTCTCACAGTCTATAGGAAAGCAAGCACAAAAGGAGAACAGTCTGTAAAGATCAGGCACTTCAACAACCAGATCAGCAAGCCCATTGTCCACAGTTATCCCAAAATAGGCTGCATCGTTTCAGAGACACTTCCTCTCCCTCTAGTCCTTCTGCCTTCACCCAGTGAACATAGCCCCAGCATGTTCCTGCCGTGCACCTGTTGAACTCTTCTGCAGAGCTTGGAAGAGCTGAATGCAGAGGGGAAAGGGTGAGGAGTGGGTGCTGGCTTGGATGTGGTGGCCAGCCTGGGCAAGCAGAGCACAGCTGGAAGCTCTTGGAAGCTCTCTGCTCCCCAGGCTCATATGGGAAAGCTCCAAGCTGTGTGTTGCTTATAGAAGCTTCTGAGGATGCTTCCAGCTTGCCCTGATGTGCAAACCATACCTCCTCTTCCTCCAGGGCCCTTCCTCAGCAAAAGGCTCTCTTCCTCTTCTTTGTGCTGTGAAGTGCTCAGCTCCTGTGTCCTTGAGGCTGACAGGACAGGAATAATACCCAGTGCCCATGGGTCTGTTTTCCATTGTAAGAAACCACATGGTTCACCTGGAGACAACTCAGTATGTGGAAATGGATCAATAAAAGCGTCCTATCATGGGACAGAGGCAGCCTGCAGTGACAGTGTACCTCCGGTGGAGACTGGTCATCAGCCGTTCTCCCTGTTGCTACAGATAGGTGAAGGGAGCCCCAGCCAACATCATGCGCACCACATGCAGCTTGAAAAGAACCTCAAAATCACATGAAACCCATTAGCAATGTCACCCATCACTTTTGACTGGTTGGTGGTGGCCTGGCTGAGAGCTGACCAGCTGTCCCGTTTCCACCAGCCCCACCTCCCTTTTGTGACAGGGGTACCTAACCCAAGCAAGCTTGGGTAGCCCTGAGCTCACCAGTACTGAGGCGGCTCCCATGTCTGGCTGTGACACTGCTCAGAAATGCCCCACAACAAGAGGCCAAACTGATCTTGTCACAGGAAGAGGAACCACCACAGCCTGCAATGGCCCTGCACACCCTGACCCTTCTTGTAGCACCAGCCAGCCTGGCTTTGCAGACCATTAATGGGGGAAAGCACTGGGGAATGTTCATCCCTGCACCCTCCACCAGATCCATGGCTAGAGCCTGGCTTGGTTTGGAGGCTGTGTACCAGGATGTCTAAGGAATGAATGGAGAATCCCATGAGGCCAATTCTGGGAATGATCTGAAGTGCAAATTTCCCCTGTCCCTCCCTAAAGCAGACCTGCCCTGGGCGCCGTGAAGGCCATGGAGAAGTTAATTCTGCAGCTGGGGAGACATCTGCGATTTGGCGAGGATAGGTTCTTTCCACAGAGGCTGCTAATTCTGCATGAGCTAATCTGGATTTGCTGCTTCTCTGTGCTGTGAGTCACAGTGCGCATGGTCCTTTGGTCACCGTGGCAGGTTGCAGGTCTTCACGGTGGCCTTTTGCTCTTCGTAGAGAGGATGACTCTGACTTGGCTGCCATGTGCCGTTTGACACTTTCCATTCATGTGCAATAAGATCACCGTGATCTGCAGCAACAGTAGGTTGTCATCCTAAAATATTCTCAGCAACAACCAGTACATTAGCTGGCCCAGGGTGCTCTTGCAGTGGGCCAGAACAATGCCTGGATGAAAAAAATATACCCAAAAGAGCCACTCTTAGCTCTTAGGAATTGAAGACCTCAGAGAGATACAGCCGTTAGTGTGGGGCAGCCTGTCTTGTCAAGGGAAAGCTTTATAGAGCTGGGTGGAAGGGAAAAGGCAAATCAAACTTGGTATAAAAATAAAGCAGAAGCTGATCATTCATTACAAAGCAAGCACTGCCTTCCTCATCAGCCTGCCTGGAAACCAAGGAAAAGCTGCTGCCATCAGTAAGCCCAGCCCTTGACCAGAGAACTCTGTACCGTACCCCGCACCTACTGGGGCAGCTGAGCCCTGAGTCTGTGGATTTCCAAGCTGCGAGCGCTGGGCCATGGGTACCAGATTAGCTCTTTGTATTTCCTTTCATTTAGCAGGATCCTGCAGAGCTGGGCAGCTGCCAGTCAGTCTGTCAAGACCTGAACTATTTTGGGAATTTTTATGATGGAACAATATTTTTTCGGTAAACAAACGGAAAGCTGTTAAACAGGGACCTTCACCTCACAGCTCCCAGTTCAGCTCCCTCACTGCTGCGATGCCACAGTGACTGTACTGTCCACTCTGCAGAGCTCCTTTCACGGCTCCAGCAGGGGCAAAACAAATAGCAGCCTTTTTTTCACCCTTTTCATGAACTCCTGAACAAAAAACAAAACAAAAAAAGAAGGAATCGAGTAAATTTGGTTTAAGCAGCAGAAGTGTTTCTTGGTGGACTTAACCCCTCACACACCTGAAGGCAATCTGTATATTGCCTCTGTGTGCCGTGCTGCCTTACCATGCAGCATCTAGCTGCACCCCACACTGGATTTCCTCAGGACTGCTGGAACATAGATCCAAACAGCAGTGACACAGGGCTGAGTGTGCACAAAAGGAAGACTTCCTTTTTTCACAGGAGTCTGGTAATAGGAAGCCATCACGGAGTCACAGAGTGCACAGAGGAAGATGTTTGTGTGGAAGAATTGAGCAGGGAAAGGAAGGACAGAAACGTTTCCCACTCTAAAATGGAGGTACTGCATTTCTCCTCATGGGAAAAACCCATGAGAGGCCAGTGACTCCTTCTTGCTGCCATGGGCTAAAATTGATTTCACAATTCCTATGTATTGGCGGCACTGGAGAGTCCAGTCTCACATGGGATATATCTGCCCCAGCCTTCCAGGGAACAGACTGATGGCTATCAATTGGAATGAGCCAAGACATTTGGTCCACAAATGCTTCGTTCATGTCACAAAGGCCGTTTGTGGTTTTCCTTGGTTCCTGGAAAGTCCACTCCAGCTTGTACAACAGGAGGACCCGGCTCGCACAGGTCGTCCTGGCAGCCCGTTAACTCCAGAGCATGCAGATCACTGAGGCATCTTGAGGGATGGCGTTCTGCTTCTTTCCTCTGCCCCTTGTCCCACTGCCAAACTCATCAAGGAACTGTAGTTTGCCCCACTGAAAACTTGCACAATGGAATCTTTTGCCTGCCCCATCTGATTTTGCCTTGGGATCCTTCCTGTAACCCATTAACTGTTCTCACTCTGAGACTCTGATACTAATGACTTTTTCAGAGAAGCGTTCAGTAAAGTTGCTTGTGAGCAGCTGCACCTTCCCCCTGCCCAGCTGTCTTCCCTTCTCCATGGGCAGTAGCAGCCATGGACTTTCCTCTCCTGTCCTCCAGTTTCTCAGGTTTCTTCTGTTTGCTTTTGCAGCCTCAGAAGGTCAGCTCTGGCACCTCTGTTCTTACCCTTCTCCGTTTCATTTTGTCACTTTCTTCCATGTCCATTCCTATGCATGACCTTCTCACCTACAGGTCTTCAGCACCCTTCCAGGGCAGCTTCCCTACCCTTCTGCTGCTTCTCTTCCTGGCCTCTGCACTGAGTGGCTTTCCTTGGCTCTGTGCGCTGCTCCCTGCCTCTATAGGAGCAGGACTCCCCTGACCCCACCATGGGATGTTAGGGTTGAGAGCCCAAGGAGTGCTGGGAGGACATGGGTTGAGCATCTCAGGAGTTGCAGCAGTGGTGCTGTGGAGAGAGGCACACCAGTTCTCAAGATCCTTGGCATTTAAGGCGTCCCCAAGCTGCAGCTAGGCGTACACAGACCAATTTACTCAGGTCTTTCGGATCCCAAGTCTGTGTTTTAAACAGACACATAAGCTGGCAAAATCCCTGTGGCTTATATCTCCTGTGATTACAGTTTCTGCTGTCTGTCATTAAAGTCACACTCGTATTTCTTCTTCTTGGTTTGTCTTCCCTCTCTTCACCCCCTTATTTCCCCCCTTTTCATTGCACCCCACATTTTAGCCCCATGAATTGAACTTACGTGTGCTTAGCTGGTCCATCTTCCCCACAGAGAACATGCTCCATCCCCAGGAAACAGCCCAGCTCTCCTTTTTCTCTTTCTTTCCCAGAACAGGTTGGGCTCTTCTGCAGTGTGTTATCTCTTTAGCACTCAACAGCTTACCCAAATCAGTGTTGTTTATGCCTATCACTCCTGTTCCTCCTGCTCAGCCTCATTCCTCCCCTAAAGAAGGCTTCCTCTTTCTGCTGCAGTTTTATTCCTGCAACTTTTATTCACCTCAGTCACTTCTGCTCAAGCCCATTTTCTGCTTATGCTTATGTTATGACTCTCAGGGCTTTATAGTTGTCCAGCTCTGTCTTCTTCATGTCAGGCCATCAGAGCCAGCTTTATGATCCCTTGCTTGGATATAATTACTTGTCACATGGAGGTGACAAGTAGAGGTGCAGCAGAATACAGAGGTTTTGTCCCAGGAATTTCTTTGCTATGACTTGGCCAAACTGCTTCTAGATCTAGGCACTGGGTACCAAAAGGACCCTTTGCATCTACAGCTTTTGTGGCTTTTCCTTCAGTCAGGTTATAGAGAAATACACCAGTAAAAATCAGTGCCCTGGGCAAGGTCTCAGAGCCCTGCCTCATCGTTGCTCAGTCTGCCTGTGCCTCCACGAAGGACATTCTGTCAGCTTCCGACCTGCAGGCATCTCCTGGTCCTCTGTTGTTTGCGATACTGCAATTTGTTGCCTTGGAAATAAGCGCTGTTTTATCCCAAACAGAGCCTACAGTTTCACAGTGCAATGAAGCGAGAGGAGCAGATGGTTTCCCCCATCTCTTCTGCTGTATTTGCCATTATCCTCACCCACAGCTGGAGGACAGGAGTCTATGATTAAGTGCAAGTATCTGTGGCCGGGCTGTATCTACCCATGTAAGCTGGGAAACCATGTTTCTGGTGGGATATAACATGCTTTTTGCATCTAGCATCACTGTTTTGGCTTCTTGCAAACAGAATTTGACCAAAAGCCTAAAATAAACAACTTCTTGCTGACTTCAGTGGTGTCTATGAGGAGCGGGCAGAAGGAAGGTTCAGCACCTGCAGTTTCAATTTCCCAGGGCTTTGTAGTATCTCCCCTTAAGATTTCAGGCCTCTGCAAGCTCATTTTACTGTTTTATATGTTGCACTTTAGACAATATAGGCCTTGTCCTCTCTGCAGACACTGGTATTTCCCTTTTGTGCAGCTCTCCTGGGCTAAAGCTCAGCTACAGTTTGGCAACAGCTGTGCTAGGTAGGACTTGGGAATTGGGTAGGGGATAGGTCTTCATGCAAATGTCTTTCCATGGAAGCAGTTTTCGTAAGAACTGTTGGTACGGAGGCACAGTGGGGTCATGGCTCCAATATGCACTTGGGGAATCAAAGAGATGTGGGGATTCTATAGGGCTGAGGAGCTTTTGAGGTCTGAAAAGGCTGGGGGAACCAGCACTTCCAAGCCTGAGATTAATGGCTTTGCAAACAGTTCTGCTTTCATTCCTTGGTGTTATTCTTTGTGATTCAATCTGATTTGTTTGAATTCTGTTCTGAGGCTTATGTCCTACCCAGCACTTTGCTGCTTGGGTGCTGCCTTTTATTGCCAGAACAAATGGGAATGAGCAAATTTAGGCTGGAGAGTAACAGAATATTTCTTCCTTTCAGAGCAGTAGGATCCTCGAGCAGCTTTCTAGTAGGAACAGGGGTTATATAAGTGACGCTGCTAGAGTTTGTGGCTGGATTTAGTGATCCGGTGTCTCTTCCAGTTCTACCTTTTTGGGAGCCAGCTATGTTTAAAATTCATTTGAAGAGGGGAAAATTATCTTCAAGATTTGAATGTCCTGGATTAAGAATGGAAAATGGAGCAGAGGCGACTGAAAACTTTGGTTCTTGGTTCTCCTTGCCTAGCAGCAGGGAGGCTGGCTTGTGGAAAGAAAGAGAATTCCTGTAGTTCAACGTGGAGATGTGGCATGGGGAGGGCAAGACAGAGCCCTGGGGAGGGTGGTTGTGAGGGATGGGGCAAGCGCAGTACTGGGGTAGGGGGCACAGGCCTGTGAGATGTGGGAGGGAGAGGAAAGGAAGAGAGTCGCCTTTCCTGCACATACCGTATTTGCCTCTTTTGCTTATCACTGAATTTATCCTTTCTGCAATGAGTAACTGACTAAGGCTCCTTGTGCTGCACCATTAATCTGTGGCTTTCCATTAACAGGCAGGTGCTTGTACCCGGGGGACCACCATGCTGACTGCCAGAGATTCCTGGCACTGGCTACTATGGAGTTAAGCAGCCAGGCTGGAGTGTGCAAACAAACATCGAGACCTGTGCTAACAGCCCCGCTTTGTGCTAGTGGGAAGCACAGGCTCCAACTTCTTCCGATTTCTCACCTGTCCAGACTGGTACAGAGAGAAAATGCCTCTTGGAGTTGCAGAGAAAACCACACCTATTTACAGTGGATTCCCCAGGGCCCTCCTGTGGGGTATTAACCCTTCAGCCCCAGGGCCCACAGTCTGCCTTTGGCATGGAGAATTCCCCACCATCCTTGGGGAAAGCAGCCCTTCTCCCTCTGGTGTAGGGGTTTTGCCTCTTTGTGGCCCAGGGCATCGGCCCATCCACTCTCTAGAGCAAGTCACGGCTTTCTCTTTCCTCCCCATCTGTACAGTTATCTCTGCCCTTTCCACAGCTGTGCACTGTGGCTCTTTCTGCAGGCATTGGGCTTCCTGACCCAGCTCCTTCCCCCAGAAAGCAGACCTTGCACTGCTGTTTCTGGGTTGGATTTGTGATCACGTCTCTGTGTTTGTCTCAGACCCCACCAAGTTTCCCTGAGATACCAGCTCATCCCTCCCCCTTGAAATGTCCTTGCTCTCTTCGGGCTTCTTCCTGGTCTCACTGTTTGCTTTCCCTCTTTTCCCTGGTTTCTGAGGTTTCTCGGAAGGAATCCCGTGCTCTGGCCTCCTCAGGCTGGAGTGTTGTGTTGTTGTTTTTCCTTTCGTCGCTATGGGCAGGGATTTTGAATACTGAGCCAAGGAGAGGGAGGGAAGGAGGGAGGCAGTGAAAGAAGGAGGGAGTACAAGGGGAGGGATGAAGAAAGCCAGGGAAGTGAGAAAGCAAAGTGTGTAGGGGAGCGGGGTAAGGAAGAGGTGGTGGAGGAATGAAGTGGGGAAGGAGGATAGAGGGCATTATGAAGAGGAAGAGTTTTGGATAAATATCCAGGAGAGCTTTTTCATTGGTTCTTGTATTAGTAACACTATTGCAGCAAACAGCAATATCCAGAGCAAGGCAGGGAACATCCCCCCCATCTGTCTAGGACACAAGGCATGAGAGGTTATTCAAGGCAAAGAGATCCTTCAGAAAACGAACATCCAAGCCTAGAGCAGCCAGTAGGAGCACAGACTGCAGCAGGGAAAATGCTAGATGGCAGTTTGGTGGGTAAGGAGAGAATGTGAAGCATAAAGATGCAGAAAATACAGGACCTTCTTTTAGTTTGTTGGAAGCAGGAAGCCTGGGAGGGGGCTATCAGGTTTTCTGGGAACAGGGAAGAAAGTAGAGCGGCTAAGGAAGCTTGCAGCACTGCAGAGAAGCTAAGTAAATCCCATAGCAAAAGCAAAAATGGATAAACACCCCTACTAGTGCAGCTCAGCTGCTACAGACAAGGCACCCTTAGGCACTGAGAACATACAAAGGCAAAGGCTGGTGTCTCAGAAAACAACCATCCCCAGGACTGGGAACCAGCACCCAAGGATCAGAGTGCAAGAGACCAGCAGCTGTGTGCAGAAATAGGGGAGGGCAGAGAGAGCCAAGGAGCTGCGGACACTGCTCTCATTTCAGCCCCAGGTGAATCCATACACCCACCTGATCTGCTATGTTGCAGTGAGAAATCTGCAGCTCGCTTTGCTCTGCCAAGGGAAATCCTGCTCCTGCAGCTGCTAGAAGTTCTGGAGTGTTTCCTGCTGTGGGAAATAACAGCAGGACATGGGTTTTCAAAAAGCTGGGAGCAGTGTCTTTCACAGGAGCATCTCCATGAGGCTAAGCGGCCATGAGGTGATTAGTGCAGGCACTGCTAAAATGCTGCAAAGAAGCAGAAGCTGTAGGCCCTGAGGGCTCAGAGCAGTTCACCTCTGGGAGCCATGCAGTAGCAGGATGGAAACTAATCCAGAGAATATTATATTGCCACTGTGTGAATCTGGGATAAACCTTCAGCTGGAATACTCTGTGTGCTTCTCATCACCCTTGCTGGGGAAAATAGGGGAGATACAGGCTGATAAAGAAACTTACTAAAAAGATAAAGCCTCTTCCATGTGAGCAGGGATTGCAAGGAATGCAACATATCAGTTTTCAGAGACAATAAATGGGGAAAGGATGTGAATTAACTAGCACTATAACTTTTTTAGGAAAGACTATATACTTCAAAGTCTAAGCCAATGCCTAACTGACAAAGATAAGAAGGGAGTTCTGCTCTGGGGAGGTTACTCCACAACTGCCCAACATAAAGATTATTCAGCTTAGGAATCCAGCACTGTCAAAGCTCTCACACAGCATTTGCCAGCCCTGGTATCTAATCAGTCCTGTTTTCATAAACAAGCAGCCTGGGGATCAGTCAGCCTGTCAGCCTGTGTCCATTAGGGTGCTGCCGTGGTGGTGCCTGCTACTGGCCTCAGCACTGCCACCAGCCTGGACCCATCTGTTTCTCCCAGTGACTGGGGCAGCTTTCCCCAGCCCTACCGCTCGTGTGATCTGTCTTTTTCCTCCCTTGCCCAATGCTGCAAAGTGACTGGAAGTACCTTTTTGAAAGAAATGTCAGACTAGAAATGAGGTAGGGGTGCTTGAAGGGAACAGCTAAATCAGAACTGAGCGGTGCCCAGTGGGGATGGTGTGATGTGCAGCCAGTGGTGACTGAAGGGCCGCTGCATCTTGGCTTGCACCACCACCACCCTCCCCTGCAGGCTGAAGCTCTCTCTCTCTGCAGGTAGGTATTGTACTCTGATTTACAGGACTTTGAACACGTGAGTTCTATGTTGTGTCTTTCAATGGGTAGTTCTCAGTGTTGACCATCAGGATTGCAGATAATCCTAATACTGAAGGCAAAGATCAGGAAAACATGCAGAAGATTCATGAGGATTTGGGTGATTTAGGTGGATGAATGACAGATGAAAAATACTGTTTCATGTAGCAAATGTCAAATGGAAAGTGTGGGAGCAAGGAGCAGGTCTGAGGAATACCAGGCAAGCAGAGCCACAGCACAGCTCTCTGAGCCTTGATGGGTAGGGAATCATTAATCCTGTCTGCCTGCATGGAGAGGCATTGCGGGAGGGAATTTTACATTTACACCGCTGATGGTGTCATCAGGAGGGTGCACAGGGCAAGCAAAGGACCATCACTGCTAGAGTCTTAAACACGCTCTCAGTGCACTTGGAGGACATGGCACGTTAAATGTCAGGGACCCCTCAGGAGCCTTGTCAGCTCTCTGGCTCACATTGCTGTGCCATGGGCAGGGCTGTAACAGCAAGAGTGCTGCTGAGAAACCTGGTAAGAAGGACCAGTACTGATTCTGCCTCCCCTGCCTGCCTTCAGAAGTCATGGGCCTGTCCCAGGCAGCACCCACTCCTGCTGTGAGAGGGCCACCAGACCCTCCAGACAAGACCCTCCAGAGAAGAAGGGTGAGAAGGACAAGGATGGCTGCCATGCTGTCGAATGGCAAACTAGCCTAGGTCTGAATACAGCAATGAGCTGCGCAATTCATCCATGTGGAGAAGGCAGAGAAATGAGTGCTGGTGTGCAAAAAGCAAAGACTTGTCCCAAGGACTAAGAACAACTCCTTTGCTGTCAAACTCCAGTGCTGGTGCAGCTCTGTTTTGCTCTAGAGTTCGCTCTGTTCCTGATAACTTTCTGGCTCTGTGTTGTGCTGCAGGGACTGTTTCCACCTCCATGAACCTTCGTCTTCCACACACTTTATTTTGGCCAAAAATATTCTTATCATCCCTTTCATCTGAGGAGAAAGCCGTCTTCCAAACAGCAAGGTACCCACAGCTTTGTATGTTCTGTACAGTGGCACTTTTGCTTTTTCCTCAGCAAAATCCTGTCTCCGTTGCGAATGCTGCCATTCCCGCTTGGTTAATTTGTCTTTCTCAGCACATGTTTCCACAGCAGTGGCAAGACTGACTGTCCCTGGTAGGGCCAGCCGTGTTTACCCGACCCCTCCGCATCCTTCAGCAAGCAGCCTGCTCTTGGTGACTTTTCTGTTCACTTTTACCCACTGAAGCCACAAATTCTCAATGAATTCTTACGCCTTTTCTAGCCCGAACGAAACTATCTGAAAAGTAAACAGGTTTGGTGTTTACATGAGGCAAACCCCAGCCTGGGAAAAGAACAGCTCAAGCACAGGCGGCTGCAAGAACGAGGAAAATTCCCCTGTGGGACAAGAGTTCCCAACTCAAGAAGGAGTGATGCAAGTTTGTCCCTTTAAACATGTGCGTAAGCACTGTGCCGAACAAAGATGCTTCCCTGGAACTAGTCCTTCAACAGTTAAGTGAAACAAGTCCCAGTTAGGACTAGCTTTGATTATCATAAGAATGGAGGCTCAGCTGCCACCAGAACCTGCAGAGGGGAAGCAGGGAAGACAAGACACTGTAGGCTGAAGGGTAGGATTCAGCTACACCCCCTCCTCCCTGCTTCCTGACCTTCTTCAACACATTCTTGGGTACACAGCTTTGGAATCAGTGCACTGCAAACATGCTGCAAGTGCTGGTCATGTACAGAGTGGTAGGTGGGGGGTCCCTGCTCCTGTTCCATGAGGACCGGCTGGGGGTGAAGAGCACCCATGAAAAGCACCCATGAAGTGCTCGAGGCTGGGGCTGTAGATGTCTATGTTGCAGTGAAATGTCCCAGCTCTTCTCATTAGAGAAAGGGAAATGAAAAAGGGGAAAACAGTGGAAGAGAGTGCAGAGAGCTTGCTTTCTTCCAGCCCCCAGAGGATAAGGGGAAATGGCAGTTTCCCACCTTTCCCAGGGCAGGGAAGGGCTGCAGGAGGAGCCACGTGCTGGACTGGACCTTGCTCAGCCAGGTCATTAGCCTCCTCTGAAATCCCCTTGGTTTTCCCTCTCCTTTTCCTCAGGACCAAGCAGCTGAGAGGGAGCTGCCATACCCTGAGGGCAACTTGTGTGAACTGCTGGAGAGAGATTGTTTGTCAACCACATTGGGATCCCTCCAGCTTAAGGCACTGGAAAAGTCTGTTCTATCTGATATAGGAAGGTGGAGGAATGCACATGGGAAGAATACATCTTAGCTTGCACTTCTCCCCCCCCAAGATGAGGTGCCAGGATTAAAGAAATATTGGGGTTTTCTGCAAAGGTGTATAGAAAGTATTCTGCCTTTCTGAAAACAAAAAGGTAATAGAACAACAGCATGAGGCTTTGAGCAACCTGGTCTATTGGAAGGTGCCCCTGCCCCTGGCATGGGGTTGGAATGTGATGATCTTTAAGGTCCCTTCCAACCTAAAACATTCTATGATTCTATGAGAGTAGGAATGAGGGTGCATGTGCGGTGTCCTGCCGAACCAGGTGGACTGTTTCTTGGGCAAAGTTTATCCTACATTAAATGCAGCATTCCTGGTCCCCTGTTCCAGCACCCCAACTGAATTTTCTTTCTCTTGCTGAGGCACAGATGAAGAGGACAAGGCTGGAAGTGCTGTTGGTGAGACCTTGCAAGTGATAAATCCTCCGTTGTGAAAAGAAATTAAATGGAAGAGTGCAGAAAAGACACCCTGACTGACAAGCCAGAAGGAGAACAGGGTAGGGGAAATGGTGCCTCTGTGCAGCTGGGTGGGTGGGTGAGGAGGGTAAGTCAAAGAGATCACAGTGCTGTTCAGCTCCATGACAGACTCCTCTTGTCTGTAATGACCTGTCCACAGAGCCCAGGGACACAAAGGTCTGCTGGTTGTGACTCTGCTGTGGTTCATCCTGTTTGGGAGACATGTCTCATCTCTTTCCCCATTTCCCTGGGCACAGGCTCAGGCAAAGGGAGCTGAGTAGTGCTGCTCAGCCCAGCAGTTTTGCTGGCCACTCTAGTATATTTTCTTTCCAAAGCAGCATTTCTGTCCTGCAATGCTTTAGGACCAACAGCCTTGGAGCATCCAGTACCTGTGTAGTAGTATGCAGTGCAGCCCTGCGGCTGTGCAGAGCTTTGTTTCCTGGAACAGTTCGGCACATGCAGGTGAAAAGAGGCCAATGTTAGAGACAAAGAGGAAGGAGACAGTTCAAATCCATGCAAATAAGTTATTAGGAAGGCTCCAGCCTGCCACCTGCTCCCCCATCTCCACCTGACATCGTGGTGCTAGAGCACAGGACACCATAAGTGTGCCTGTGCCTAGGGCAGTGTCCCTCCTGGGGTGTCCCAGTGATAATAAGGGAAGAAGACCAAAGCAGCTGGTCAGGGGGGCCTTGAACCCCTCTGCTTCCTCTTGGCTCCTCTCCATCCCAGTCTAATGCTGGTGGAGCTGGGGCTGACAGCCCTTGACCTGTGTACAGGAGAGACAGCATCGTGTGGGGCATGAGCCAGCCAGGCTGGGGTATGATGAGGTGGTAAGGAGCTCGCTTCCCACGGGGCTTCGGAGTTGCCCTGCAGCCCTCCCTGCCCCCGTGTTTTCACTGCCCTGGGGAGGCAGGGTTGGTGCTGGAGAGCACGGCCGCTCTCTCCGGACCTGGGCCTTCTTGTTCCCAGGCGCAGGACTGAAAAGCGGAGCCTCCGCACAGCGCCTGTCCCTGCGGGCTGGGCCGGCCGTGACTGCGGCGGCACCGGGACGGGTCGCGGGGCTGGGAGGCTGAGAGCGAGGTGGAGCGCACGCGGTCAGGGGTTGCGAACTGCCGGAGAGCCGTGGTGCAGAGAGCCCAGAGGGCACCGGGGGTGCCGTGGGGTGCTCGAGGGAACAGGGGTACCAAGGGGTGGCGGGTGCGGAGTCCCGGGGTGAGGGCTGCGGGATGCTGGGCTGCGGGGTGCGGGATGCCGGGGTGCCGGTCCCCCGGCTGGTCCCACCCTTGTGCGGCGCTCCCCGCCCCGCGGCCCCGCTCCCCCGCCCTCCCTGACGTGTG